AAAAAATTCAATCAATGGAATTAAAAAAAACAAACAAACATTTCAATCATGGATTACAAAAAAAAAAAACATTTCGATCATATATTACAAAGCATTCGATCATGGATTACAAAAAATTCTATCATGGGTTAACAAAAAAAAAAAAAACAAAAAAATCGATCATGGATTACAAGAAAAGAAAACAAACATTTCGATCATGGATTACAAAAAATTCTATTATGGGTTACAAAAAACCAAAAAATTCGATCATGGATTACAAAAAAAATCTATCATGGATTACCAAAAAAAAAATAAAAAAAAATAAAAATAAAAAATAAAAAAAAAATAATAATAAAAAATAAAAATTCCGTACGGAATCGCCGATTCACTGTTCGGACTCGCCGATTCCGTACAGTGAATCGGCGATTCACTGTACAGAATCGTCCGGTTCTCTCTAGAACCGGACGATTTCCGATTTTTGGGCGATCCGGTTCCATTTTCACTATTTCCGAGTCGAACCGGGCGAGTCCGGTTCGACTCGGCGTTTTTTAAAACGCTGCTTTGAAAGCTTAATACCTCAGCGTTATATAAACTACACCCTAGGTCGTTCTTAAGTCTCAACGACCAAAGCTTTTTTTCCCGTTCGTCAGATTTGGTCCTTGAGTCAGACTGAAACTACACCTGCTTTCAGTATTTCATGGATGGCCGCTTTTAAAGAAGATTGCGACGACCCTCCTTCTTCCACCACCTTCATCGCCGCCGCCTTCAATTCTTTTGCGCGCTTTCTCACTCTTCGCCCCTCCTCCTCTTCCATCAAAGCTCTCACTCTGCTCCCTAACGCCTCAGCCCTCACCACCCCGTCCTCCGCCATCTCCATCTCCAAAGCCACTCCCAACTCTCTCACTAACACCAACGCGTTCAGCCTCTGCTCGGCATACAGCGGCCACGCAACCATCGGCACCCCATGACACAGACTCTCCAGAGTCGAGTTCCACCCGCAATGCGAAACAAACCCCCCCACTGCCGGGTGCGTGAGCACAGCCACCTGCGGCACCCACTTGGGCCACACCATCCCATACCCCTGCGTACGCTCCAAGAATCCTTCTGGGAGAGGCTCACTGTCGTGGGAGGTGGTGCGAAGGGACCACAGGAACCGCTGGCCGCTCTGCTCGAGCCCCAGTGCAATCTCGTTTGTCTGGTGCGCAGGGAACGCACCGAGGCTGCCGAAGCACAAGAACACAACCGAGCCGTGGGGCTGTTTATCAAGCCACCGCAAGCACTCGTGCCCCTCCCCACCGGCAGGCTGGTCGTCGAGGTTGAGGAGGGGACCAACAGTGTAGATGGGCGGTGTGGGGTGGTTGGGCAAGCAGAGCCCCTCACGCAAGGCCTTGAGCGTCAGGGGCTCAAGCTCCGCAAAGGTGTTGATGATAATCCCCTTCGACTCTCGTAACCGGCCGGCGTGGTACAGAAACCACTTGTAGGCGTCATTGGTCCTGTCCTGGAGTACAAGCGGCAAGTCGATCGCCGGCACGGGCGGCAGTCCAGGAACAGGGATGGGATTTTTACAATCCCTGAATTCACATGGGATCTGATCATGGAGAGTGGGAAGGTAGAGCATGAGGGAGAGGAGATTGGCACCAGAGGTGAAGAAGAGATAGCAGGGGACATCAGCTTCTTCCGCGGCCTCGAGCAGGTTGGTGCAGAAGAAGTCGGTGATGAAGGCGCGAACAGGGGACGAGGGGGTGGAAAGGGATTTCAGGGCTTCGGCTACAAGGGGCTTGTGGGCGGCCACAAAGAGTGATCTAATGGTTTGGGATCTCATATCGGGGGTTGGGGAGAAGTGAACAGGGGGCAAATTGAGGAAGCGGAGGCGGGTGGGGGAGTAAGAGGCGGAGATGCGGGCTATGTAGGGGGCGGTGGTGGGGGCATCGAAGGGGTGGTCATGGGGTGTGAGGATGGTGATGGAGAGAAGAGAATGGTTGTGGATGAGGATCTTTGCGAGCTCGACCGTGGTCACGAGGTGGCCAATTGGGGGCAAGGGAAACATCAACACCTGAACCTTTGTCACGTTTTCCATGGCGTTTCTCTCTCTGCTCCGCCTCGTCCTCCTCCTCCCCCTAGCCGTCGTCTCTCTCATGCGGGCTTTCTTTATGTTATTGCTTTAACCTGTTTTTTACCTCCCCAGTAGCCGCAATGGTGGACTTTGTAGAGCCATGAGAATAACATTTTCATTCACTCCCTCAAGGGGCGGCCCTTGTCTCCCTCTACAAGCAAGAAGCTTTGGAGACAAAAATGAGCACATCTCACTCCCATGTAGAAGCCGAAGCCATAGAGGAGAGCAATATGTTCTAACGAGCGCTTTAAAAAACGGATCGGTGATGGGGATCCCAAAAATCCATCTGGATGGGTAGATCCGTGTTTTGGTTTGGAAATCGGCTGAATCGATCTAATTCAATCTTAAAAAAATTCAAAAATTTTATAAAAAATATTATAAATATTTTTTTTTAAGAATCCAATAAAAAATGAGTAATTTTTATTTTTTTGCGTCAATATACCCCGTTCCCTACCATCCCTTTCGGACCCACAAAGGGCTAGGCCTGAACCCGCCGGAGGACCATAGTCCATTGTGATTTGGTAATATGTCCATTTGTGCCTTGGATCTATATGTACTATTGTGGACTCTTACGTATATTTTGGGATTTGTTTGTCCAGCAGTCTATGATTATATAAATTGTGTTTCATTTTTCTTTTCTTTTATGGTCGGCTTTGATACTGTAATCCTTTCTTTTCAAAGTGTTGAGTGCACTTCAACTCAAGTCGCACTCGCTACCTGTGGTCGTGACCACACGCCTTATGGTCCTCTTGCAGGCCCAGGCCTAGCCCTTTGTGGGTCTAGTGGGGATGGTAGGGAGCGGGGATGTAACAATCTTTCTCCATATGAAGATTCTCATTAAACACTTTTTAAAGCCTAATTAAATACAATATTATACATTGAAATTAGAATTATTAGTTTGTATTTTATTATTTTATCATTATTTTACTATACAATAAGAATAAATTGGAAATTTGTTTTATAATATCATATAATTTAAAATAATCTAATTACAACTATAACAAAAAATACTACAATGCATAATGTAAATAAATTACTAAATAAAATATAATATTTGATTATAATTGTAATTAGTTTAATTAATAATTATAATAAACATGATTAAAAAATTAAGGGTATGACCCGCACAAATAAATAAATCTAATGTATAATAATTAGTATTGATAGAAATATATAATTTAGTAACATAAATTTGTAATCATATTTTAATAAATAAATAAATAAATAAATTCATTTATGCAATGTGGGATAATTGATAAAGCAACTTGAAATAAATTCTAAAGTGGTATGAGCTAGTGTTATTTTTCTCGATTAAAATATCCCATAAACTGGTTTTTTTTTAATGTTCAATAAACTACTATTAATATTATTTTTTAATTTTTTTAATATCCTATGAGCTATTACTAATTTTTTTAATCCCAATTAGCTAATAGCCTCATACTACTAGTCTTTTTTTCTTTTTTTTTGATAAGTAAATTTGAATTGTTTTGGTGAAGGATATGGGTGGTGGGTCCTATGTACCAATTATTATTTTTAATAATTTTCATCCTCTTTAAATTAATATTCCTAAATTTCTGTTAAAGGCCACCATGTTATAAAAGAAATTAATATAATTATGCCATCTATTTCTTGGTAAAAAAAAAAAATCTATAATTTTGCTCCTCTTTAAATTAATATTCCTAAATGTATGTTAAAGGCCACCATGTTATAAAAGAAATTAATATAGAAGCACGTGGCCCAAGCAAGGCATGTATGACAAAGATGCCCTTGTGGTTAGAACGTCCCACAAGACTTCCCCCTATCCCACAAGGACTTCCCCCCGAACAAAGAAGCCCTTGTGGTTAGACCCCTATCCCACAACGGCTTTCCCCCAACAAATATCCCACCAGCGCTTCCCCCAGACAAAGAAGCCCTTGTAGTTAGATCGTGACCGTCCCATAAGGGCTTCCCCCTATCACACAAGGGGCTTCTTTGTCGAGTTAGACCGTGCCCCTATACCACAAGGGTTTCTTTGTCGAGTTAGACAGTGCCCCTATCCCACAAGGGCTTCTTTGTCCTACATTGTTGGGCTTCCCCCTATCCCACAAGGGGGGTGCCCCTATCCCATAAGGGGGTTGCCCCTATCCCACAAGGGCTTCTTTGTCCTACATTGTGGGGCTTCCCCCTGTCCCACAAGGGCTTCTTTGTCGTACATTGTGGGGCTTACCCTGGACACCCCTATCCCACAAGGGCTTCCCCTATCAAAGAAGCCCCTGGACAAAGAAGCCCTTGTGG